AAATCGGTCACAACTTTGGCTCTCCGGTGAGCTCTCACTTCCTTTCCTATTATTTCAATTATCGTTATTATTATTACTGTAATCATCGCTATATCTCCGGTCCTATTGTATGTGTGTCTCACGTTTTCACTGTACTGTATATATCCTATCGCCTGAACCACACATATAGTGTGTCTCGCAATTAGCGGACGTTTTAATGCGCTAAACAATTATATCGCTTATATGTATGTCTGATGCCATGAATGTAAATGAATTCGTAATATGCCTGTAATTACCGAGTGTTTTGCACTCTAAATCTCTTCCCATAAATTCCTACACAATCTCTAGCGTCAGAATATTCTGGCAGAATATTCATAGACAGAATTGTCTCTCTCTTTGTGATAAAAATCTTAATGTTTTCTCCTCTTAATCTTTGAATTCATTACATTAATGCAAATGTTTATTGTATTCAATCTTCTTCTACGTCTAGCGGGTTATGTGTTGCGATAGTAATGCATACGATATATGCATAACATATAGTAAATAGTGTACTAAAAATGCAATTTATTTAATGAATATCTCTCTCTCTCTCTCTCTCTCTCTCTCTCTCTCTCTCTCTACCCGTATGTAATATTTAGGTCACAAAATGTAACTCACATTTCTTTGCACACATTTTTATATCATTGGTTTTACTGTTTGTTTTGCGTTTTAGGAAAAGATATATGAATTGAATTTTATTTTTCTTTCGCTCTCTCTCTCTCTCTCTCTCTCTCTCTCTCTCTCTCTCTCAGAATTTCCAGAATTTGTGTCAAAAATAGTGGCAAAACTTACAGAAGAAAAATAATAATCCCATAATAATAGTGTAAAATATCAAAAAATAATAATAGATTAAAATAAGAGTTTCTGCGAAAAAAATAAATGGAGGTAAAAATGTTGTGAAAGAAAACAAAACTTTTATCCTTAAAAAGTATTTCATTTCACGAAACATTGAATACGATTTCACTTTTGTAGCCATTTTTAGCGCTCAACCAATTTCTGAGTTGTGTTTGTATTAATATTAACCATAATTTATCGCCAATACATTGAAACACACAAAACAAAATAAAATTATTTATTACACGTTAGACTAAATCTGTATATTTATTATGATTAACAGAATATGTTTTACCGAAACATATAATAAATGCTTTCATATTTACTATTATATGCGAAATAATTGAAAATAAGTGCAGGTATTAACGCAATGGTGTTTATATCGCACGCAAATAAAATAAAGAAAAATATTTTTTGATATACATTTCCATTGATTGATTTGATAGAAGTTTTGTGACATGTTTTTAGATATCATATTCAAGTGACACTAAAAATCAATAGATTGTGTACTATTTTTATGGTAAATATTTTTATTTGTGAGTTTTTTTTGTGTTGAATTATGGCTGAATCGGTGATCTTTTTGTCCAAAAATCCACAAACAATATAAAAATCAAAAATATTTTTTTCCGTTCTCCCAATGCTTTAGGAAATAGATTTTTTTCAAGAGTTTTTTTATTTATTATTATTTTTTGCACTAAAATATTGGTTTATAAAAAGAGTTTTTGTTATGCCTCGAGAGAGAGAGAGAGAGAGAGAGAGATAGCTTTATATTGTATTTTATTATTATATCTACAAATGTTTTAATGATTAGGGCTTTTATCAAAAAATATATTTCCAGCAAATCTATATACACCGGTTGAAAGTATTACCCAGGCCTCTTTCAAAGTGAATTACTCTTCACTGGATTATCCGATTTTGATTCTGTCTTCAGTAAAATAAACAAAAACTCCCCAAAAATGACCTCCGTAAATGGTTTTAACTTACTCCTAAAATTCTAGGATATAATTACAAAAAACCTCATTTTTGCCATTTTCTACATAGACATAATGTTAAATTCAAACTCAATTTTGAAGGAAAGTCACAAACTCATCTTATGTAGTTTTTTATGCTGAGTTTGAATATTTAACTAAAATTTTTGTACCTTAAATATTTTTCGAGTTATTCGACATTAATCTTTCATCGAATATTTTGAAGATTGAATTTATGAAGGTTTAATGAACCAAGTCAACATGAAAATTAATGCTTATTAATTATATGAAATTAGTTTTAAAATAGAACTGAAACTTTTAGAATTTTTCCATTTTTAAAATTATCTAAATTATTTATAACTCAAATAACTCGAAAAATATTCAAGGTACAAAAGTTTTAGTTAAATATTCAAACTCAGCATAAAAAACTACATAAGACTAGTTTGTGACTTTCCTTCAAAATTGAGTTTGAATTTAACATTATGTCTATGTAGAAAATAACAAAAATGAGGTTTTTTGTAATTATATCCTAGAATTTTAGGAGTAAGTTAAAACCATTTACGGAGGTCATTTTTGGGGAATTTTTGTTTATTTTACTGAAGACAGAATCAAAATCGGATAATCCAGTGAAGAGAAATTCTCTTTGAAAGAGGCCTGGGTAATACTTCCAACGGGTGTATCTGTGACTTGTGTTACGCTTTTCACACACTAATGGATACATAAGAAAAAAATAAAATACACAATTTTGAGAAAATTTCAAGAGTTTTTCGGTGAAGAAACAAAGACTAAAGACTAATCGATAATATATTTAAGTAAACCATGATTTGGGATATAATAGCATTTAGTGATGTGTTTCCGATCCATTGATTTACTATTTATAGACATATTCTTTGTCTAACGAATGGCCAATAAAATTGGCAATTGTTTTGATTTCATTGCAAATAACTCTCTCTCTCTCTCTCTCTCTCTTATTTACTTTTCAAGTGATTTTGTAATCCCTTTAATATTATTGCTATTTATTTAATAAAATTCTGTCCAACCTTTTGGTTGAACTGCTTATAAGCGAAAACAATTTAATTAAAATCCATTGAAAGGGATAATTGAAAATTTAATTACGTGTTTTAAAAATGGACTAAAATTATAAATTTAATACAAGTGCTCATTAAATTTGTTTTTACAATTTACATTTTTAAACTAAAATTATGCGTTTAAAATGTGCACATAAATCGCATCATATATTTACGCATACAGTATATTGTATACAATGCGATATCTCATAATCACAACACATTCCGGGCGTTTAAATGGAAAATATTTTTTAAATGAAATTTTATGGCAAATTAAAATCATGCAAACAATAAAACACAATTCGCGCTGAATTAACGCGTGTGTCATAAATCATCGTGGTAAAGCAACCATAATAAAATCTAGAACTAAACAAAAACAATTCACTTTGGACTTATAAATTATCATGTTAAAATTTTATCCTATTTCTTATCCACAGCACTATAGGGGGAGTCTAAAGAGCCTGAACACCGGAATCGTAACCCTATTGAATTACGGCAAACACGTGCCCCCAATCGTAAGCCACGTAACGCTGGCCCACGAAATCGGTCACAACTTTGGCTCTCCGGTGAGCTCTCACTTCCTTTCCTATTATTTCAATTATCGTTATTATTATTACTGTAATCATCGCTATATCTCCGGTCCTATTGTATGTGTGTCTCACGTTTTACTGTACTGTATATATCCTATCGCCTGAACCGCACACACATAGTGTGTCTCGCAATTAGCGGACGTTTTAATGCTCTAAACAATTATATCGTTTATATGTATGTCTGATGCCATGAATGTAAATGAATTCGTAATATGCCTGTAATTACCGAGTGTTTTGCACTCTAAATCTCTTCCCATAAATTCCTACACAATCTCTAGCTTCAGAATATTCTGGCAGAATATTCATAGACAGAATTGTCTCTCTCTTTATGATAGAAATCTTAATGTTTTCTCGTCTTAATCTTTGAATTCATTACATTAATGCAAATGTTTATTGTATTCAATCTTCTTCTACTTCAAGCGAGTTATGTGTTGCGATAGTAATGCATACGATATATGCATAACATATAGTAAATAGTGTACTAAAAATGCAATTTATTTAATGAATCTCTCTCTCTCTCTCTCTCTCTCTCTCTCTCTCACACACACACTGATAGCACGATCCGGAAGAGGACACAAACTGCACGCCTGGAGGAGAGAACGGGAATTACATAATGTTCGCGAGGGCCACATCCGGCGACAAGAGGAACAATAATAAATTCAGTCCGTGTAGTCTCAAGAGTATTAACGCTGTCCTCAACACCAAAGCCAAGAGTCTGAAGGGATGTTTTCAAGGTATGCCTCAATTACTTAACTTATATAACGCTATATAATCTGCACACTTATACAGAATTGTGTATATAATGTTCATAATATACGGAATTCTGTGTATTCTTAGTGTTTGCTTAATATTTCTTCAATTATGGGCATTTGAGCAAATAATCTTGTTTAATTATTTAATGCACCATGCTGCGCAATGGGTATCATATATTAAATCGTATTATTATTAAACAATTTTAATTAAAATGTACTCTAATTAGAGAGCGCCGTAGAAATGCTCGTTTTTGCTAACTCTTAACCCATTCACTAACGTATAGACTATTAGATGATAAAACGTTTGTATCGATTAATACTTTAAGTTGTTTTTCTCTCTAACACCACAAGAGTGAGTGTGAGAGCAAAAAATGATTATCAAGTCGTTTATCATTTGGTTTTTTGCTCTGCAATCCAATAATTTACGTCCAATTCTCTCTCTCTCTCTCTCTCAACTATTATTATTCCTTAGAGTAT